CCCCCAGCCCCCTTCTCCAAAGAAGAGGATGGCTGGGCTGACTCGTAAAGTCATTGTGGGCCTGACGGGTCATCAGCAGCAGGTAAAAACATTTGATTGACCACTCAGGCTGGGGTGGTGTGTGCACGTGCGTGTACATTTCACACTTCCGTTTTTTTTAAAAAAAACATGTTGCTCGGCAACCTGAGGTGGCCGAATGGAGCTTTCGCGGCTGTGGCGTTCCAGGGCCGTGTGTGAATGTGTACCTGTAGAGGTCGTGGATCTGCCGCAGCTGCAGTCTGACCAGCAGCTGTCCAAGGAGTTGCTGGTGTTTGCCGTACAAACACATCAGGTTGTGTACGGGGAGTGGCTTGAGGGACAAACAGGTGATGGTCTCCACCACCTGGTTGCGGTCCAGATGCAGGCAGAAGTAGTCGCCGCTCTCCGGGCGGCCCGTGGCGATGCGCCGGCCCTGCCGGACGCAGCAAAAAAAAAACAAAAAACAACCAATCCAAACTTCCGTGGGAGAAGACAAGCGCAGTAAAAGTGGCGGACGTACGCATGCCACAGAAGGTCCTCGCGGCCTGCTGGCGACCGGTTTGGTCACGCAAAGATAGTTTAGTCGTCCCGGTAACTTGGCACCTGCGCAAAACAAGCGACGCAAATGAGCGGCAACGGCGTGCAATTGGGGCTGACTCAACGCATGTCGTGTCGACGCGCACCTTTGATCTTGGGCCGCTTGTAAATGGGAACGAGGCGGTCCGCGGCGCTGGGCATCTCGCAGTGGGCCTCCAGCGTCGGGTCAAAGTGCCTCAGCAACATGGTCGCCAGCTCCTGACCCACCTCCTTGGAGTTGAAGTTGGCGTGCGACCACTCGTCGCTGTAGTACGAGCGAGAGAACTTGGTGAGCGGGCCGGCTCCCCAGATGGCGGCGTCGTTGGTTCGGAAGGCGCCGTCGATGACCAGCCGGCCGTCGAACACCAGGAAGGAGCTGTTGATGCTGCCAAAGGCGTCGTAGTCCACGCCTCGGCTGGACAGGTTGATGAACACCTGACAGGAAGACGACACGCTCCTCGTTTAGAAAGCTCCAGAATCACAACAAAAGCCAGCGTTTTTGCCCACGCATTTTCACAGGATGAGCTGGAGGCAGGCCGAGAGTTGCTGCGTAATGCTGCCATTGCACGACGATGTCATTGTGCAATCACTAAAGTGCCGAGGATGGCATCGCTGCCGGATTTGACTCTGCACTTACGCCGCAGGGCAGGTGGAGGGCTTCCGAGCCGGTGCTGAAGGAAACGGACGTGAGAGGATCGGGATGCTCGCCGTTGTTCATCTGCATCAGAAGGCAATCGTGGTGGATGTGGACCTGAGCCTTCGTCATAGCCGCCATCACTGCGCTTTCCACGCCCGCGTCGGAAAAGTAGAGACCCCTCGGCTCGGGAGGCAGCTCATTGGACAAGATCATTTTGGGAAGTGAGTCACTGGCTACGCGGGGTTCGGGCGGCGGGTCATTGGCGACGCCGCTGTCGGGAAGCGGGTCACTAGAAGGGCCGTTCTCCAGAGCCGGACTGCCGGCGACATCAATCCGATGAGCCGAATCGTCTGCGACATCACTCACAGGAGGCGAACTTTGGGTGACATCGCTCCCGGGCGGTGACTCATTGGTGACATCACTTTCAGGAAGCGACTCAGTCGTGTCATCAATCTCACGGGGGGAATCATTGCTGTCGTCGATTTCAGGAGGCGAATCACTGGTGACGTCAATCTCAGGAGGAGGGTCGTTGGTCACGTCGCTCTCAGGTGGTGAATCGTTGGTGACATCACTTTCAAAAGGCAAATCATCGGTGATGTCAATCTCGGCAAGCGGGTCCGTGGTTGCGTCAGTTTCGGGAGGCGGGTCATTGGTGATGTCACTTTCACGGAGTGAATCGTTGTCACTCTCACGAGGCGACTCATTGGTGACATCATTCTCACGAGGTGAATCACTGGTGATGTCGCTCTCCCGGGGCGAATCATTAATGACGTCACTCTCCTGGGGCGAATCGTGAGTGACATCACTCTCAAGAGGCGGGTCATTCGTGACATCACTTTCAGAAGGCGAATCATTGGTGACGGTCGTCGTACGAGGCGAGTCATCGGTGACATCACTCTCACGAGGCGAATCGGAAGTGACGTCACTCTGGCGAGGCGAATAGTTAGTGACATCACTCTCAGGAGGCGGGTCATTCGTGACGTCACTTTCAGGCGGCGAATCATTGGTGACGGTCGTCTCGCGAGGTGAGTCATTGGTGTCGTCAAGAGGCAAGTCGTCGGTGGCATTGCTCTGAGGAGGGTGGTCATTTGTGCCGTGACTTGCAGGGGGCGAATCATTGGCTACGGCGCGCAGGGGGGGTGTCAGCACCAGATGGATGCAGGATCCCCGCACTCCGATGCGGAGTAACATCTCCACGGTGGTGAAAACGTCAAGGCCGTTCCCATAGACGACGGCGTTATCTGCAGGGTGGCAAGAGCGTCACTCGGATGTTTTCCGCGTACCACATGACTTGATTCCTTTGAGTCAGACCCAAGTCACCCGTTTGAGGACTTTACGCTGGCGCGGCAACGCCAGCTCTTTTGACTGCACTGAATCGCTGGAATCGGTGAAGATCAAAAGATTCGTTCGAAGGAAAGCGTTCACTGATTCACTTTCTGGGGGACGGCGCCTTCACCAAATTTTGAAGAGATGCGGCGATGACTGAGTGGTGCACATGCACAAAAATGGCTGCCCAGCAAACTCAAATCTCTCTTTTAGAGCACAGAATTGAGCAAACGGTGGAGAGAAAAATGACGCGCAAGCCATCACGGATAATCAGAAGGCACAACAATCAATCCGGTCACCGGGGCTTTGCTGAGTGTTACCGCAAGGGAGGAATACGGGAGAAGAAAATCCCTCTACGAATGCCCCCCGCTACAGGATAATCACTCAAGATCATCTTGAAGACCACCGATAAGTGCGCCTTTTGTCGAATTCGATCACAAGGGGGGTGTGGCAACTTGTTCTTGAACAACTGTGCGTTTGCGCGCACGCGTACCTTTCTTCCTCACAAAGTTTTCGAGCAGCCAGTCTCGAGCTGTGTTGCAGTCGTGCGGGTCGTTGAGGGTGAAGAAATTGGAGGGCACGGTGCCGGTGTATCTGGGGGGGAAGGACGCTTCCTTCCGCGGCTCATTTGTCTCGGGCTGCTCCTGATCCACTTGCGTCGGACAAGGCACCTGCACAAACAAGTGCTAACTAGTCAGACTGACCGGCTTCCCCTTCCGCAGCTCTTAAAACTAACTCGACAAATGAAGTGACCTGGTACTGCAGGCCGGTACAGAGGACGAGGTAATCGTAGGGAATCTTGGCACCGCTGGACACCACCACGTGTTTAGACTTCCTGTTGATGGCGACCATCTTCGCGGCAACCTCGGCCACGCAGGAGCGCAGCGGCAGCTGCGCCATTTCTCTGCTGTTGTAGGCGTGGCTAAAGGGGGCGCAACCGCGTCATCGAATAATTCACCGAAACATCGCATGTCCTTCCGGGCGGCAAAAACCCAAAGCGTTCGTTCTCTCGTGTCGTTTTCCTTCTGGCCTTCGTCTCACCCGGTTCGTTGGTCGGCCGAGTCACGGCACGGGCGCGTGCTCTTTTGGAATGGAAATTGAAATTGAGTGGTCGTTTCCCAAACCAGCAGGTGGTGATTCGATCCCTGGCCATTGTGACCGTGTCAAAGTGTCCTTGAGCAAGTGACTGAACCCCCAGTTGCTCCTGATGCTTCGTCATCCGGAGGTAAGTGAGGGTAACAGTGTAAAGCGCTTTGAATGCTCCCAGGCTTACCATGCAAATTTGTTTGTTCGGTTTTTTTTTTTTGCAGTTTTCTGCGACCCGGAAGGACCCTGGCACCTACTGCATTGTTTCCAAAGATTTTGAAAAGGCGAGTGCACTTGCCTGGTGGATAGGAACTTGATGCCGGCCGGGCCGTAGTCGGCGGGGAAACCGTTTGTGGAGATGAGGGTGAGGTTGTTGAATCTCAGGTGAGGGCTGCACAGATGACACTTCAGTCCTTTCTCAGTATCAAGAAGCATCTTGTGAACTTTGCAAGTATGGTCTTGCGAAGATCATACTGGAGAACGTGGTTCCTAAGAACGCCGCTCTCTTTGCAATTGGAATGCACGGCTACGTACTTGGGAACGTTCACCCGACTCGGATGGATTTCCATCAAGCCACTTCGATGGCGGCATTCAATGCATTTTGGCCTATTATGTCTTCACAAGTACCCAACCGATACTCGCATCTTGTTCTTGTCTGCTATCTTACTTGGTGTAAGATAGCAGACAAGAACAAGATGCGAGTATTGCGTGCGCTCTTGATTTCTGCGTACTTTCACTTGCAGCAGGACGGATGACCTTTCGCGAGATCACGGGCACGTAAAAACGGACAAGAGCGCCGATCGAGAAATGGCTTTTGAATCCAAAGAGACATAACAGTCACTTTGACCGACAAGTTCAATTTGTTCCATGAGTGAGCTTGTCGGCGACTCACTTCCTAGAGGGTGTCACCATCCAAGATTTTTGAGTTACAAAGCGCAACTGGTTGATAGACAACGCTGCTAATCCCATCATGTTGTGGCAACGAGCACAGCCCGAGAGCAAAATGTTGCATCTGATGCAGGCGGAGGAGTGAGACGCGCAATGGCCGCTGGCATGCAAATGAGGCGGCGCAGCGTTGTCGGCTGCTAACAGACGGTCGGCGTGACCCCGCAACCCAGCTCTTTATCCGTCTGACCTTGTCCCGCAGGGGAGCGGGAGGGACGGGGTAAGGGCGACACTGCGTTAGGCCGATCCACTGTCGGGTGCCCTACATAGTCCTGAATCACGACATACTGTTGCTTTTTTTTTTTTTTTAACTAAGTGGGCATAAATAGTTGCCTAAAATGTCGACTAAAAATGCCAATTTAGTGACAAAGCCTTAGCGGTGCCGCTGGAACGCCGGCGGTTTGGGCCAGCCTGGCACAAGGCTCCTGCAGGCCATCATTCGCCCTGGCATCAGTTGGACGTTCGCTAACGGCCTCATTAGTCAACTCGTTAGCGGTGGCAAACGAGGGCGCCGACAACCACGCGGTGAAGGCTAATTAAAGTCGGGCTGGCGCCGCCAAGCAGCCGGGCTCCGCGCCGACATCTTGCCAGCCGAGCGTGCGCTCCGTACGAGCAACCGGCCTGTTGCCTGCCAGCTATCAGCTGCTCCTTCATCCTTACTGACGCCACAAGATAAGACGCATGCGCGGAGAATCCAGTGGGGACAAAAACACATCGGTGAAAGAAAATACGTGATACTCCCTGACTATTACATGACTATGGAACATATTCATGTGCTACAGACAAGCAGCTGGAGATTTCTTTTCTGCAGCTCATTGACGTTTGTATTTGTCTTCCACTAACACTTCCAATTCTATCGCTTCAATCGCTACAGCATCTAAAGCGCAAAACCCTCTTTTAAATTGGGCAGTCTGCACCACTTTTAGCATCGGCGCAGACAATCTGTTCAAGAGAGTCAACGCGCAAGAAACATTAACAAATGAATCGAATAAATATTGTTATAATATAACCTGCTAAACTTTGGGGACTACATGTGAACAATTTCATGGAACAAAGACTAGAATTGAGGTTGGAAATGTAGGTCATTGCTTTTAATCCGTTCTGGTTTCTAATAAACGGGGGACCGATTGATAGTTGACTGGCTGAGTTGTTGACATTGACAGACGGGATTAAAGCTACGCTCAGACTGCATGCTTACGCTCGTGGTCCGTGGTGGGAGTTGTTGTTGCTCACCCCACTTGGTCATCACTGTCACTTTGTGCACACCACCACGGCCTAGTTGACACGCTCTGCAGACGTGTCCCACCGACGGTGTGTGTGTGTGTGTGTGTGTGTGTGTGGGGGGGGGGGCACCAGCAATAAATCTTTGCCTGGGGCGTCCAATCAGAACAGTCTAGTAGAGGAGCAGAAAGTAAACGTGCTTTGGAAGCCCACGCACCAGAAACAAAGCACCTCGAGGAAGGACAGGCCTGTGTCCGAAGCCCCCACCAGGACGATCCTGGCGTTGACTGTGACCTTTGGTTCCATGGTCAGCTTGCGGCTGATGAGGTTGAGAGCAAACGGAGCCTGAAGGACGAAAAAACAAACAAAAAAAAAAAAAACATGCAACAATGTTGGACAGGGCATGTACGAGAGCAGCAGAACAGTTTGCTGTGGGAGTGACAGAGGACTTGAAGCTGGAGGTGGGAGTGCACCAGGGATCAGCTCTAAGACTCTTCAGCTTTCCAAAAGTGATGACAAAGGTCAAAGATAAGGTTAGACCAGACATGGGCAAACTACGGCCCGCGGGCCAGATCCGGCCCGTTGGTCTTTTTCATCCGGCCCGCCGAAGGTTGGTACAGTACATAATTATGGTTCGATGTAAATTATTGCATTAATTTCATTTGGACTTGTAATACAGGCATTTAAACGCCAGGTGGCGCAGTTACTTGAAGTCGCAGAGCACAGGGAGGGAGGGGGAGACGATACGGAAGCCCGCAGTAGCACTAAATCAAGTAAGTCCCGCTCGATACGACGAAATAGATGTATCCGCACCGCTATTTTCTGTCATTGGATCCAAAACGGCGACATGCAAGCGACTCTTTGTTGCAGTGAGTTTTCCTGGAATTGCGAAATTTTTACATCCTATATTAGAGCATGGCATCCAAACAAAGAGGAGCGGTAATGGCCGCGAAAGAGAAAATGAAGTGTATCTCATTAAACGAAGCGGGTTACGAAGTACGAAACATTCAGGAGACGCTTGGAGTCTGGAAGACTCAAATCTACGAGACTTTGAAAAACAAGGAAGCGATTCTTGCTCAGTCCGATTGAATAGTAGGCATCTTAAATGCCAAAGCCCATCCCCACAAGGAGCAAAAGCACCGTCATTCATCCCGCGTAAACGTGACGATGACGCTACCGATCTCTCGAATGAAAATTGCAACTCTTCAAACTGTAATCACGGGTAGTCAGGAAGACCTCGTTGGTATCCGCAATCTTCATCCCCAACAGACAAACTCGCTCGCCCCGGAAAGGTTCCTCCCGATGAAGTGTGTGAGCCCACCTGTTCCTCAGTGATGCTCCTGGCAGGCGCGTTGGGTCCGAGCTCCTTGAGAGGGTAGATGATCTGACGGCGGGGACGCACGGGGACGGCGCAGTCCAGGACAAAGTCCAGATGATCCACGCAGCCGTCCTTGAGAGCGCAAGGGGGAAAAGCCGTTCAACTGAGCTCCGATCCCGACCCGCTCTCCGGGGACGTCGTCCGGCCCACCTCCCGGCCCGAGCCCAGCGGGTACACGCGGTGGTAGAGGCTGGACTTGCGGGCCAGCCGCAGCGCCTCCC